GATGTAGGGAACTACGAAAACATAGATAACTAACGCCAGTGAAGCTGTGAGCATGAAGCAGGCGAGGATGTAAAAGTGGATGGAGAAACACTTTCAGGGTAAATACAGAATCCTTTGGTTTTCTAGCGCTATCTTACAGTACAACAATTACATCTAAAAAAATATTCGCCTTAGATTTGCTGTGTCAAAATGAAGCAAAAATAGTTCAACTCTCGAAGTTGCCTTTGGTGAAAATTGGAGTCAATTTCTTTAGTACAGATTATCTATACTTAATTACTTCTAACTTAAACTGCTCATCCTCACTGGTTGTGAAGGCTCCAGCACAATCTCCACTTTTCGCAGATTCACTAGTTAAGCCGTTGTGCTTTTCTAGAATCCCGAAATCGGCTTGGCCAAAGTCTACCCAGATCTTCACCACTACAGGCAGTCATTGTGGATCAGTAGCTAGACTTTCTGATGAAAACGCCGGACTCATTCTCAGCTTGGGAGACCCTGCCAAGGGAATGAATCCCACCGCTGTAGTTCGCAGTCCGACACCCAGGAACACCTCCCAGCCACGATGAGGCGGTAAACCGTTGGGAGGATGGAGCATCTATACGAGTAGAAAATTTCACCGACGTATTGAAGCGGCTTTGTTTCAACGGTGTGTATAAATTCGATGAAATATTTTTCCACTACTATTTATATTTAATTAAAAAATTTCAAGATATTAAAAGCGTCGTTTAAATCTTTACTGTCTTCGACGTAGATATTCCTTTCACACCTACACCCTTTAACACCTTTAGCACCGCACATCACATTGAGGTCCATAAAGTTTTGCTGAGTGAACTCCCACTTGTTAAATTGCTTTGATTTTGTCTTCGAAACACGGGCCTTAACAAGAAACCAAATGAAAAAATGCCTTTCAGGCACCTAGATATTCCATTTTAGTAGAATAATATAATTTCCGTCTGGTTGATAAAGATCTCCTGACGCTAATTCTTGTTATTTCAACTAACATAATTGCCTGTGAATCGAAATGCATTAGTTTAAAATTGAAAGTGGCGATTTTCTCCTCATTGCATTGCACTAAATGTACCTCGAGCGTAGTGTGTTAATATCGACAGCCTATGAACCGATAAGGGCCGAAGAAAATCTGAGACCTCAAAAGAATTTGTTCCACTTTCCGTGAGTTTTGTAATGTACTGGATACATGAAGAAGTGATTTGATTAGGAGCGGAAGAGAATGATGGCATTTCCTAGGCTTCGTTGAGATGAAAAAACCCTTAGAACTCTATAAAGCGCAAAGTCAAATTCGCTCTGGCGAATGCCTGGATAACGTACCTATTGTATTCGAATACTCGGTGATTTGAATGGAATCCATCTCGCTGGCATATAAGTAATATTTTTTTTCATGGTTCAGAACAATGGATGAAGATTTTGTCCTCGCTAAAATATCATCTCGCTATTGATATATTCTCCAAAATCATCCACCTGAGAGGAGTAGTCGAAGTCTGGATGTTCTGTGCTCAAAAAACTTGCTCTTCAATCCGATTACGTTAAGAGCTAGAGATATTTTCTCATTATTGTGCATAGCACAAAACCTTACGAACGCAGTTATTTCCATCAGAGTGAAACGGAAAACAAAGAATAACAGCAATGATAAGGAATGACTACGAGGTGCTCATTTGGTTTCGTGAACTCATTTTTAATGCTGCAGAGAACTTGAGACTTGTGTGAAATCTATTATTAATTGGTTGACGACTATGTGGTCCATTTATGGATCATAGGTGCCCAGAAACATACTCAGCGCTTCTACTTCATAAATACCTATATAAACTTCTAATGAAATTTTCTGCTTGAAACGCAAACCGCTAAAATTATGTCTTAGGCACCATACCGTAATTTATCTTGGTCCATCACGATAGGATTCCGCGCTTCTGACGTTATAAACAGTCTTTTTTAAATAGTGTCGTCAAGACTCATTTCTCGAAAACCTCGACACTACTAAAATCTAGATTTTGTTCAACAGGAAGCAAAGACAGCCTGAGTTATTATTATAAACAGATATGAGGCACATTCCAATAAATTGTGGGAATTTATGGACTGAACAGCTTATTAGAATTATATTGAGAACCTTTGAAAGAAGAATCTTTACTTTTCTACGTGAGTCTTTTTCACATAATGTGGAGATCCCATCACTTCTGGCATTTGACTCGATTCTTCTCATTTACTCTTCGGATTTATAAGCGGGTTCGGCTGCCAGATGAGGATTTTGTCTTCTTCGTAGCTGTCGTTGAATATTGGTTGTGAACGATCCTTTTGGGATTTCAAGACTATCCTTAATAGAACGCTCCCATTTCTTTAATAGTGTCAATAGGCAGACTTTAGGGGTTCAGAAGAGAGTTTTTCAAAAAAAAAAAACTCTGGTGCCAATTCCCTCTGCATCCTGGAAAGATGAGTGGATTAGTTGAGCAGAGCTGAACAAACCAGAGCCAACAAGTATATTTCAGGGTTTGTTTAACAACTGTGTGGTGTACAGTTCCGAAGGAAAAGGTTCACGGCTAAGGCTCTTCTGCAAGCTTAATACTCAACTCCACAAGTGCTTAAGACATCAAAAGTTGCGAACGGCCACAATAGGCTGGTTAAATATAATTCACCATCTCTTTAAAAAAATTAGTAAATAATTTGAGCCTTTGTTTTGAATTTCAACTTTGCAATGATACTGCCCACGCGTAAGGTCCAAATTCGATTTCTTCGATGAAAATTCGAGCCTTTTTGAAATACCTGGTCCTACGATGGTCACCAACGCCTAAGAGATTCAAATCCAATTTTTTGTAAGAATCTAAAGCACAATTACAAAATATGTACTGTTTTTAAGCTTATCGTCAGTTATTTGACCATTAGAAAAGTAAAGCTCTCGGCGTTGATCAGTCTTTGAGGAAGGCGCCATGCATTCGACTTCACTAAGCATCGTTTGGAGATGATTAAGTGCATATCTGGCTTCTACAATAACTCGCCGTGGCTTACCGAGGTATTGAGTTAGTGCTGCCTTCCTCCCAGACAAGTCTGGTACAAATTTGCCGACCCCGGAGAGATAGAAGGCTTGGTGGGCCATGGGCGCGTGGATCGATTCCACGTGTGTGTTGCAGGGTGCCACAGACCATTGCCCCACACGCTTCCTATTTGGCCATAAGTTCTCAAATTGACGAAAAATCTATTCTATGGTGACACAACTCTTCACTCCCGAACACGCTGCGATTTTCCTAGGCCTTCATTACAACCGACTTTCACTTGTGGTCAGCGAGTTGTTGGCAGCCTTGGGAATTGAAATGTGTTTAGGCCAGTGGTGATTCCTACGCAAAGCAGCACTCCTTGCGACGGCGATGTAGTAGCCTGATTTCAAAATTGAACAAAATAGGTTGTAGCCATTATACTCAAATTATTCAAATTGCACATTGTGTGCATATTTGTAGTCGTAATCTGCCGTGTAGGGCGCGTGTGGCGCAGTGGTTGGAGGCGCCACTGTGACACACACGTGGAATGAACCCCGTGTCCATGGCCTACCAAGCGTTCCATCCCTCCGGCGTCGGCAAATTGGTACCAGACTTGTCTGAGAGGATAGGAGCACTGGATCGATAGATCGCGAATCATTGGCAAAGTCAGATATGGGTTCAATCACCTCCAACGATACTTAATGAAATCGAATGCATAGGGAATCCCTCAAAAATTGATCAACGCTAAGATCTTTATCCTTTAATCTACTATGTAAATGAGTTTTCTATCTCGAATATTGATGAAAAAGCGACGCCGTTTTAATTAACAGATGAGTAAAGTAGAATTAAACTAACCCGAAGTTGTTACACATGTTTTCTTCGGACACCTCTTCTGCGTTTTTGTTTTCATCAAGGGGTCGATGAATCAATCAATCAATCTTCCCCATCCGATAGCCTTCGCGACGTGGGTCGTAGTGATTGTATCGAGGCGAGTCTAGAGGAGTGGAGCGCCGCTCCAATGAAGTGTAGTCGTCCGACAGTGGCTTTTCATACGGAAAGGTTGTTGACCTCTCATCATTCAGTATTTTTCTTTCATAGTAGCTATGCGATGAAGTGGAAAATTTTTAAAAAAGGAAGGATAATGTTCTAAAAATTATATTTTACACCTAGATTACTTCAAGGATTTCACATAGTTGGTCTGTCATCACTGTTGTCTCGCATCATAATCAACGCGACAGCTAGTCTAGGTGTTGGCCGTAGACGCATTAATTCCAGCTAGTCCACCCACAAAATGGTGGGTTTCCTTAGGGCCACTTTGCTCCTCTTGAATCCCATTCGAGCGTTCGCCTCTTTTATTTTTCATGCTGTCACCCCGATATTTTCACAGTGGAGATCGTTGATGTTTCAGCACTGATAGTAGGGTGCTAAATGACGAAACCCTCCGCCTTCGTCAAACAAATCCAAAATCAAAAAGCCAACGTAACGAACAGCATGACGTAGCCGAACTTGTCGCTTCCACATTTCTATTAAAGCTTAAGGTCTTCAAATTACTTGCCAACTTACTTCCGGAGAATTAAAATCACCCATGCTTGGCTGACTGATGGTGTTCTTCATTTAGGTCGCCTTCTGAAATCCGCAGATTATTGTAGTATGATATGACCTTGGAGATCATCGTATCACATCTCTCTTTTTCATTTACACTGATATACCCTATTCGAAGAAGAAGATGGGCAAATTTGCTTTATTATCGCTATTATTATAGCTATGAAGTTATCGCATTACTCGAGTTTATTCCTAGTTTTTTTTACTAATTACAAGTCTAATTCAAAAAATTGCCACTGCTGTTCAGACCCCCTGTGAGGAACTCATCAGATTTCGAGTCAGTCATTAACTCTCAAACCCCAATCGACGGACGTTTGCTCAAGGCGATGCTGACGAAGTACGGAGTCATAAAAAAAGCAAACAGCACTGTCGTTCAATCATGTGACCACAAAAAACTTCTAAAGTTGCGTTGATTTATAAATTTCATTTAATGCTTCGTTTCTTCAGGGCGGCCACATCGTCTTCTCTATAATCAGTAGCTTCGTTAGCAGCAGTCTCATTAATCTGTGGATCAGTCGCCTCTACCAAGGTTCCGAAAAGCTTAGGGAACTTTTGAGAACGAATGACTTTCCTATGAATTGACGAACGAGGCCGACTAGATTTCAACAAGGGGGTGTACATGAGGTTAAATGGTTCTGTTGGCTGCGTCACATTCCTCATTGCATATGCTTGGTTTCATCTTCTACTTACACTTTCATTATTTGCTTACGCTAATAGCGCTCATTAAAATTTACTTCCCAATCAAATGCTCACAAGAAAAAGGAATTAGATGGTAGTGGGATAAATAGCGGAAATCATCTTTGCCATCATTCTTTTCACAACCGAGCGTCAATTAACCAAGGCAACGATAAAAATGTCGTAAAATAACTTAAAAGATAATACCAACAGCTGCAGCAAACATTTCCACCGTAAAAAGAAATCAAAATGAATGGCAGTAGAACGAGAATCGTCGTGAATAAAAGAGATCGCTGAGTGAGATTTCTTCATTTCTTCAACATCGGATTCGCCTCGATGCGAGTAGGAACCCACATCGAACGGCTGTGGACCGCCGATATGAATTGTCGCTGCTGCGATGACAAGAGCGAGGGTGTCGAGGAGGAAATAACATAGACAGGTCAAATTCTTCTGATACCTGTAGGTGCCATAACATCCATATGAGTGGCCGCGTGTAACTTAATAGTTTCTTCAAAATTTTCTACTTTCTTTTTAAGTAATGTTGTTCAAAAAGTTCGATGCACGAAGAGTTCACCATGCCTAAGCGTTCTGAGGACTTCATCAAATGTCGTCTTCCAGACTTAAATAGGAATTCCATTATTCCAGATAAATCAATATTCCTTGTTGATACACAGACTCGGACACCCATATACACACATGCACTCCGACACAAACACACAAACACAAACACACACACACACACACACACACACACACACACACACACACACACACACACACACACACACACACACAATGAGATTACGAAAGGTTTTCCGCACATTCTTATGTATCCATGTCAGAGCGGATTCCGAGATTGACCTTGACATGCGCTCGAACACATCACAAGACAATCACATTTCACAAGGTGCCGTAGGAAAGTGTGCTCAGAGGAGTCACTGCTGAATGAATTAAATTCATTCTCCGTTCTCACTAAACATCTGTACTAATGAATTTGCACAGTAGCGCTAGGATTACTTTAAAAAAATAGCCCTATTGGGTTAGACAAATAGAAACAACTCACATAACTGTGCTTGCCTGCATGTTTCCAAAATGGTTCCGAATCGTATTGCACAACATCGAGTCCAGCATGGGCTTTATCAGTGAAGCTAATGCAGATATTCCCTTGAATGTAAGTTTGTTAATGTTTTGGGCCATATGCTATACGGTCAGTATCTAGAATATTTAGAAGATAATGACATACTTTGTCGGCAACCCAGTGGCCTGGAACGGAGGTCGCCAGCTCCAGACCGAATAGAAGGCAGTCACTCAGTGAGAACGCTGTCTCGTAAGCGTGAAGGCGGAATTCGGCACGATGAAGCTGAATTTCCAGCAATTCGTTGGACAGCCGGCATTTTTTAAAAGGTTATTTCTCTCCATTATAGTTAGGAAAAGGAGCATATAGGAGAAAATTAGAAATGTCTACGGTAAGAGGATAAACAAGGAGATATGTCTTAATTCTTACTTCCTGCCTACTCTTTTTTTCATGGCAGGAAACGAGTGCAATGACAAGGATACTGAAATATGAGAAAAACTCGAAGCTTCAGTTGGGCTTCGAACCCACGACTACCCTTACTCGAGTTCACACGCTGTCAAGCACACCAATTAACCCTCTTGCCTTGCCTTTCTCTTAGCCTTTTACTATAATGGTATTACCAGCAGTCATCCGTCAACAGGAGTAATATGGGGTGCACAAATTCGCATTGAATCCAGTTAAGCTGAAGAATCGTGCACCTCAGATCGATCCTGTTGACGGCTGATTGCTCAAAAAATCGATGGAATTTTTAAAAAGGCTGCAAGAAAGATGGAACAAGGGCCTCGGCTGGTGTGGTGGATAGCACATGAGCCCCGGAAAGGGCAAGCGCAGGTTCGAAGCCCAGCTGAGGCTGCGGGTTCTGCTCATATCTTAGAATGCTTCAAAAAGTTGTGGTTATACTAATGAAAGGAAGCGTAAATATATTATATATTATATAAATATATATAATATATTTATATTCCTTGTGAGAAGAAAAGCGCATTCAACCGCCTAACCTGCAAACCGACATCCACTGTCTGCTCGCCTGGACCAAAAGGCCAAAAGACTTCAGAAATATTTCCATGCGATAAGAAAGAAAACCTGGAAGATGTGGAAATAAAACAGTGAATATAACGTGGTGCTAAGCTCTACGACAAACCTGTCAACGATCATATGAAGAGAATCATCGTGGAAAATCACAGATAGGTTTTTGTAACTCAACTGATTCAGGAAGTCGATACGAACCAACGATCCCAGCGAAGGAGATTCTTGGGTTTTCAGAATGATCTGAATAGAAAAGCATTTTCATCACACGGATATATAGGAACATTTTATACTTTCTCTTACTACTTTTTCCTCTTCAAACATCAATTTCCCATCCTAGACTAAAGTTTTTCGATCCTTGCGACCTCACTCTGAATGGACGTGTGATTGATCAGGTTTGATGCCGTTGCACCTGCCCGCACCTATGTGGGTTCATTCCCAGAACAACAACAACAACAAATGATCGTCTCGTTTTTCTACAGTACGAGAAAGCACCGCTCGCTAATTTTAGTAGACAGAATGTTATTCCGTTCACTTATACTTCGAAGAGAATCATGAGGGTCAGACTTTACAGTGGTGTCTGCTTCAAGTTCCCAAGAAATGTTTTTCTCTGCAGTGAATTACGAAGTGTTGACTGCGTTTAACACAATCATTTTGACGACCTTGTAACAGACAGGAACAAAAGCCGCTGTGAAGCTAAAGGGGAAACAGCCGCAGTTGGTGGTATAAAACGAAAATAGAAGGTCGCGAGTTTTGTGGAAGAAAATCAAGCTCATTCGAAGATTTCTCTTTGCAACAAAATGTATGATTCGTTCGTTACTCTCACTTGTATGGCAATCCTAAATGAATCGCAATTTGCTTCATTATAGAGGATTCTGTGGTGTAAATGAAATAGGAATGGAAGCTCCATGTGGTAGGTTCTATGCTTGAGACTGTTTGATTTCTAGGTCTTATTCTCACTTTATCTACCGTGGGGAATCTGCGTACGGTGCCGAGGGAATCGATTCGATGGCCAAGAAACTGGTTCATCCGTCGGGTCGGAGTCAAGCCCCAACATTCCGCTCCTGAGGAATTGATGCACTATCGATTGATGCGAAATAAAGTGAACATTGTAGGTAACCAGGATTTGAGTTTCATCCCAAAAACGAATAACTGAGGCATTTCATACGGTACTGGTGTGGTAGAGTTTTCAGTTCTCAGCACTTCATTCTGTTCTTTTCTACGTTACCCACCAAGTAAATAAGTTGGGAACCATTTATCCATAGAATTGCGTACATTGTCAGAATAGTAAAGGTGATAAGGAAGATTATAAAGTGAAACGATCTGACCAGAGAACGAAATCAAAGGGAGATCGGCTTCTTTCGAAACTGCGACTCCATTATGTCGTTGAGTTTGGGTACTGTTCATGATTTTTCCACTTTCGCTTGTAGTAGTTAGTTTCGTCTAACCAAGACGCTTGTTTATTTGTTTATCTTATTATTAGTTGCACATTAACATGTCTTTTAACACATCCGTTTTGTCAGAGTACTGAGTGGAAACCAAAAAAAAAACACGGCTATAGCGCATTTTTCACCAAAAACATTTTCCTAACTTAATTCTTAAGAAGAACAACTCTTTAAAGCTTTAGTAATCAAAAACTGTGACATCGAGTTTAAAAAACTTCTTATGAACCTCAGTAGGAGCAACTAAGCATTTTCGAAAAGAAATTCGGGTTATCCTAATCAGTAGCAGAACGCCACGTCCCGAACACAAAGTTGGAATGAAACGTTTAGCGCGAACATGACCGGAATGTGAAAGTTTTGGTAGGCCTTAGCAACCTTTCATCATTAACAGACCAATATTCAAGCAATAGGTATTACTGTACCTCTGCTACTCTCGGCTTTTGCAGTACTTTAGCCGCAACGTGACGGAAAAGCTGCGAGACAGCTACGTCGCCAAACGTAACCCCTAGATCTGAGCATCGGAGTTGAGTTACAATAGAAAGCAATACGCATGCTCTAAGCATGTCAGCGTTGGCGTTGCGTCAGCAGAGTAACTCCATCGAATGTGGGAGTTGCCAGGAAGAAATTACACTGATTGAAAAATGAGGAACAACTACGTGAGAATAACCAGTAGGGGTAGAGCGGGTGAGCGAGTGACGATGATTGCCGCCGGAGCGCGAAACGAGGGCGGTGACGGCGGGGCGGGATGTTGCGCCCTCGGTGCGTTCACACTTGTTGAGATGCGTGCAGGCTTCGTCGTGTTCGAAGTCGTCGTCGTCTTGATCCAGCTGGTGCTCAGCAGTCCGGACTTTCATCCCCTTCTCGAGGCCTCACCACACTCGCCCGGCGTCCGCCTTAGACTGTTCCGGTCTGGAATTTCCTACCTCTCCAAGGTACTCGTGTAAGAAAGCGGGGCGAAAACATGGCTTTCTTTAATGTCCAACATTTCTTTTTCCGATGACTTCGCTTTGTGGTTAAAAAAGTAGAATAGTAAACCAGTTCGCGCGGGTAATTTACTACTAGCTCTACTGTCAGGTCTACTGTCAGTGAAACATTGTTTCTTTCGTGTTTCGCTCAAGGTTGCGCTTTTTGTGAGCTATTCTGTTTCCAATTTGTTAACGTAGAAGTGCGTTGAATTTAAAATATTCGAAAATTTAAAAAAGACATAAGGCATAAAACATTTCACTGAGGAAGAACGTCACAGAGACAATTCCTAGATAGTAAGATTTCTCCAAGATAACTCTACGTTCCGCGCAGTTTGAGCGACTTCGATATCTATCGGGGACCTCTATTGTGCAATGTTAACCTTTCCTAAGGAGCTAAAAATCTTCAGCTTATAGGTTGCTTCAAATGTTCTCGCTGAACAGCTGCCACGACTTTTTATTCCGGATGTTGAACATCGTCTTCCTAGAGATCAAGGAGTCATCTACATCACACGAATGAAGATATCAAGGTGAAAAATTTACGCCGTTGTTTTAATGAAGTGAAAGATTATTGAATTGATGGCGACTAGCACTGCTTCGTGAAATCACACCATTTTCAACTACACTTATTCCTCATGAATCTAAGTTATGTATTTTTTCATATTTCCAATAGTCTCGTCTTTTCCTTTCTGAGAAGTTGTCCAATGTCCATTTTTTTAAAGCTCGGCTTCATTTCTTGTGTGCTTTGGCATTGAGAAAGATGGGATGACATGAATCAGTGAACCCTTACTTTCGGCTAAGCGTACACAAACCAACAAAATCAACCTCTAAATAATATTTTCCCTTCGTGAATGTAATGTGAACGCTTCATTCAAATAATAATTATGGCTAGAAAAAGTGGTACGAATAGAAATCAGTGATGTTTTGCAAGCAATCATAATCCTGTACAACTCATATTCTCCTCATACAGTACAAATTATTACCCTTACTGTAACCATAATAGTAATTTGATTTCTTTACGGTCAAGCACAGATCGTTTAAGATTATCATTTACCGTTGCTTGGAATACTGTCTCATAGTAGGTAGCGTAGATGCTTAGTGATTGAGGGTATTTATAACTACTCCGCAAGTGGAAAGCACACGTGTGGTCTTTGTGGTTCAGTACCATGTGTGTTTCCCTCTAAGTAACGTAAACTAGCGGAAACTATAGAAAACAATAACACACTGAAAACAGGGGTTTGTTCTCAGGTTGTTGAAAACATAGCCGCGACGATCACTATCTACTGGCTTCTGATTTCCAGCGGAACACACAGACACGTATCCCGTTCCGATCTGGTTTCGCCAACTGCACTTCCTCTCTCACAGATGGCTATGTCTCAGCCAACAGCTACTGGCAACTGGAACTTTCTGCCGAAACCTATCACTTTTGCTTAACTCTGGTTATTTCGCGTAATGTGCTTTCGTTAGTAGCAATCAAACTGGTGCTTTTTGTCTTCGCCGATAAATATGAGGTGTGGAGAAGGAAATTTCTGTACTCATCGTAGAGCTCTCAAGGACGTCACATACGAGCAGGTTTTGGTGGGAAATCTTTAATCTTCTAATCTTCAGTGCGTTGGGGAGAATTTTAGTGGACAATAAGAACAGGGTTGGACAAGCTCTCTGTTCAAGGAGAGCAGTGCATGTTCATGAAATAAGATATTTGGTAGCTTTTCTTTTATGGATGGAAGGTCCATTGTGTCGTTTAGCATCGTTCACTTGTTCTGAAATCTAGATTGAGTAGGGGTATATGAAAAACAAGAAAAAAAGCTGGGATTTCGAGATCTGATTATTTTTATGAAATTATGTCAACTTATCTTTACTTCTTTAGTCTTTCTGGTTGGTCAGCTTCATCAATTTCGGTGTTGAATGCTTAGTTCCCAAAGACGTCGCTAATGAAACGCTGCACTCAAACCACAATGGCATGGAGCTTTAGTAAATTTATTAAACGACTAGAAATGACTAGAACCAAATCAAATAAGAATGGCCTAGTGAGGGTGTTCCAGAGCTTGAGTGAGCAGCGAGAACTAGCATTATTCTTCATTCTGTCTCCAAATCTTGATTAGTAACGCCCACAGTTTCCTATAGTCCTCTTCGCAAATTTTTTACTCAAAATGTTATACACGTGCTCATGACTGTCTTTTCCTTTTGAACAGTAGCGTTTGCTTTCAAATAAATGCAAAAAATATTTTGCATTTCTGTAGAATACGCTGTTCTACTAGTTTTGCTAGTACAGGGTTCTGTATTGTTTAACAGTCGAACTCTAATTGTCTTCTGCTTCCAACGTTTTCTAGATGAATCAGAAACGGAAGCAATCGAGTGCCTCAATCTGAGTCATGTCGGTAACCGGCTGCAAGAAAAAATTCCGTAAAAAACTGTATTTCGCTCCAACTTTTTCACGTCCCATGTTAGCGATAAGATCCAGTTCCAAATTGCACCAATTTTTCGATGTGTTTCATAAAAACGCTCAGAAAGTTGTAACAGATTGTAATAAGGGTTTCTGACTAACTGGTCGTAGCTCAGAATTGTGGCGACGGTGACAGGGTGAAAGTAGGTAACAGCTATCCCGCTGTCGGGCCACCGACGAGTGCTGAAGCGTGGTTCGAACTGAGTTACGTCGACTCCGTTCACGAAACTGATCTGTAATGATTTCAGATTCCGTCGAGCTGAATCAGAGAACGTGACAACGTATGCACCGAATCGAGTCTCGTGGCTCATGAAGAATCTTGATCTTGGGTATGACCCATTTCGCTCTAATGGCTAGTATCTATCATTCAGAGGATTTTTTAATCCCTTGAAAGACAGCGATTTCATTGAAGGGCACGTCCTCTTTATGTCCTTTAAAACAAACCACATGCATTTATAACTATTATAATACCGAGATATTTGCAAAACTTCAGACCGCAGATGTCTGCGGTGGGGAACGAACGCGCTACTGTCCTTTCCGGGGAGTAACGCGTTCACCACCACACCATCCTGGTCCTTCGTTTCGCCTGTCTCTCAGCTAGTTCTATCGATCTTTTGCCATCAGCAAACACCCATCAACGGGATTGATTTGGGGAGCCAAAATCGGCATTGAACCCAGTTAAGCTGAGGCTATGGTTATAATCACAATCTTAACCTTTTTATTTACTTATTTATTCTTTTTAATGGCAGGGTATTTTGCGAAATATAACTACTATAATGCTGAGATAACTGCAAAACTCCATGCATTTAACTGAAATCAATTTCTGAAAGGTTCTGCGACGTCTTCAGTAGATGGTGAATGCTTTTGATTTATATTTAAGAATAACGTCCACAGTTTCTCGCGGCCATGCGCACTGATTTCAATACGTAGGCTGCTTGGCTTTATGGACCATGCGTGTTGATTTCGATACGCACTCTTTTCGCTGCAAAGTGCTTTTTTGGCTACATATTTTGTAGTGAATTGATAGCTCGTCCAATACAAATGCTTTTGACCATTGATCGTTGAAAGTTTTATTCTGCACTTAGAATTATACGAAAGGCTTTCTTGACAAATAGAAAAGCTTACAGACAAGCGAAATGAAGGATCCACATAGTGTGGTGGGGAACGCGTTAGCCCCCAGAATGGGTGGCAGCGCGTTCGTTCCCCACCGCAGACACCTGTTGTCCGAAGTTTTGCAAATATCTCAGAATACAATCACAACGTTGCTGAGATATTTGCAAAACTGTGGACCGCAGGTTTCTATGGTGGGGAACGAACGCGCTATTGTCCTTTCCGGGGAGTAGCGCGTTCACCACCACACCATGCGAGTCCTTCGTTTTGCCTGTCTCAGCTATTTCTATCGATCTTTTTGCCACAGCAACAACGCGCTACTCCCCGGAAAGGACAATAGCGCGTTCGTTCCCCACCATAGACACCTGCGGTCCAGAGTTTTGCAAATATCTCAGTAACGTTGTGGTTGTATTTCGCTTAGTACCCTGCCGCGAAATTATAGTAGGCAGAAAATAAAAAGGTNTAGAAAAGCTTACAGACAAGCGAAATGAAGGATCCACATAGTGTGGTGGGGAACGCGTTAGCCCCCAGAATGGGTGGCAGCGCGTTCGTTCCCCACCATAGACACCTGCGGTCCAGAGTTTTGCAAATATCTCAGTAACGTTGTGGTTGTATTTCGCTTAGTACCCTGCCGCGAAATTATAGTAGGCAGAAAATAAAAAGGTATAACATTGTTACCTTAGAATAGTTATGGTTGTATTTCTTGACAAAGTTCATTGAATGGTGATTTGACGAACAATACACTGTTACTCCAGTTACAATCGCTACAGTAACTCATATTCACTGTAGGTTATATGCGAGCGTAATAATACCGAAACCGTCATAGAATAAGTTGTAGACAATCCTACGACCGACTTTCTATTAGCCTCGGCATTGATCAAGTAATTCTTCACATTCTTGTTGAGCAAACGCGAGGTTTTATTTTATTCGTTCTTTATTCACGAACAAGATGACGTTTCGGCGGATTTCGCCTTTCTCAGAGCCTGGAAAGGTCAAGTTGACAGCCATCTATTCGGCCAAACACCTCCATAGCAAAACAGAAAAAACGACAAACCAAAACTTCATTCACATTGAACACAAACTCTTTGCACACCGCTTTCTATGAGTCTTCCACGGAGTATGTCGCGTGGAGGCCAACAGCACAGAATCCACATGGAAGCGTAATGTACCCATCCCATCAGAATAAGAAGCTTATATACTGCCCAATAAGTTGTAGACACTTCCAAATACTGACAGCAATGCGTTAGTGTGATGGACCATAGTAAAACAGTAAATAATAAGATGCATGCCATTCATACAAATAGAGCGATAGAGCATATAGAGCATAATGTATACTACTGTTTCTATACTGCTGTCATGTCCTTAACCATCGACTGTTCTACTTATCGAAAAACTATCGCCTCTTGTAGAAAAACCGCTATGCCCTTAAGAGCCGAAAGTAAGGCATGGTACAGTACGTCTTCCACACAAAATTAGGCGTGTCGCAAAAGTGCAGCGCCACTCTTTTTCTTATGAAGAATACTAATTTGTCGCTATAATCACCTATTCATCACCTTTATTTTTTTTGTTCTATATGACGCTTTTTCACATTTACATTGCGCATCCCAGCACTTCTTGCATTCGATTCGTTTTCATCCGTCATGCACAGTCTTCGAAGTTTCCACGGGTGAGCTCGACTGCTGCTTGAGAATTTTCATTCCACGTTGAATGTCGTGAAATGCTGATCCAGTCGATTATCTCTGAAATCCTAGGATAACTTGGCTAGAGCATCCTTGCTTCAATTGTAGAAATTGGGGGTACGAAACAAATCCGATACCATTTTCCCAACCTTTGAGTAATGGAAATACTAGTGACCTCGGTTCGGACACAAACTAGAGCCCTGCTTGTGATGATCGGGATCACTACCACTGTGCCACCTTCCTTCTTGAAAGCCCTTACATTCCTAAAATAAGAAGCTCAGGTGAAAGTTTCGATTTCTAGTTTTTTTGTAGCATCGTATCTGTGTACGAATGAACATGAATGAGTAGTCAAAGTTTAAGAAAAACTACACGGCTGAACCACCTTATTCAGGTATAGTGGCACGTTACAGTTCCATTTTTAAAACACTTGAAGTGGTGAAAGCAGATCTGACATGAACAGTATCCATCGGAACCAGATCCATACACAACTCAGTATCTTAAATATTTGCAAGCCTAAATGCTACCACATATTTTTTTTATTGTATATGACCCGTCTTCACTTTTACTGCGCGGATCACAGCATTTTGCACATTCGATTCATTTCCTCACATCCACTGTCCACGAAGATCTTCCATCTTTTACGTGTGGCTTCGGTTGTTGCCGGACTATTTTCATTTCATCTTGAATTTCATAGAATGCTGGTCGAGCAATTCTCGCTGGAGCCCTGAGAAAGCCGGGCTGGAGCGTTCCCAGTTGGATTACAGGGAATGGTTTTTTCCCAGACATATCCGGTATCAATTTCACGACAGCGGAGGGCAGAGGGTCTTGGTTGGCCCGGAGCGGAATTGGGCTAACACCATGCTCGCAATGACAGTCATCACTGCCACTGTGCTGTCTGCCCCCACACTACCATATAAGGAACTCAAAATCGGGAAACGCTTGTTTAGCTTGGGAAACATAGACTCTGTTATTATAGGCATCTTATGGTCCAATTTTTCACGCCATGGTAGGGTTTAGAAAATTGAAATAGCAAGCCATGACAAATGAGAGACCTAAAAACCGGACCAATGGGAAACCTTCTTTTCAAGCTTAGATGACGTAGTACTGTGTCATAGTATTAAAGTGGTCGTTTTTGCTTGAATTTAGGTTCATCGGAGATCTGAGCGGTGCTGTGAACATTGTGGTTCCATTTAACCTCACGGGACAAGCTGAAGTACAAGCTCAGGGTTTATCAGTTCAACTTGACAGCGCTGTACGTTTTATTTTCAACTGGTTTACTACTGAGTTTGAACTGCGGAATCGTTCAAATTTCGCATTCACCATGTCACTATCCAACCTTAACTAGTAGATATGCACGTTAAACGGAATCAATGCCGTTCGTCCAGTAAACAAACGGCATTGACTCCGTTCAACGAGCAAATTTAGCATTGAGGTTGGATAGTGACATGGTGAATACAAAATTTGTGGCAGTTAATGAACAGGTTGAATCGTGGATTTCGGAGAATGTTCGTCCTAGGAAAATTCAGATTGAGAGCACTGCGAACGGCTCAGCTCGCGTTAGCACTGTTTCATGTCATTCGACTATCCGATCCGTCGACGTTATGAATCACAATGGAGGTCTCTTTGGTTTAGCAGTCACCGTATTCAAGGTATTGTTGAACAATCAAGGGGATTCACTGCAAAAAATTAATGTTGTTCCATATCGGTGGGGTACTCGCGGAGGTAAATTGTCCAGAACCTTGGGTCAGCTTTAAGAAATCATCTGTGAGACGATGTTTTTCTCACCTTCACTATACATGGGAGATTGAAGACCCAAAGGTGTAAAAGAACAGATTATTTAAATAACTTAACTTTCTTATAAAAACTAAAATATAAAGCTCTCAGCGTTGATCAATCCCTGAAAGATGCACCATGCATTTTACTTCATTAAGCATCGTTTGGAGATGACTGAATGCATATCTGGCCTTTACAATGACCCAGAGTGGCCTACTGATTTATCGAGCTAGTGCTGCTATCTCCTAGACAAGTCTGGTAGCAATTTTCCGACCCTGGAGGGATAGAAGGCTTCGTGGGCCATGGGCGCAGAGACCGATTCCACGTGTTTGTTGCATGGCGCCTCCAATCACTGCGCCTAACGCACCCGTTGCGCCCAACTTTCTTATATTTTCGAGTTATGCATTGAAAAGTTGAAAAAGTTAGCAAACTCGTAAAGGTAAAGTTTCTGGAAATGCTCTTTTATCAGTTCAGTTGAAACCTAGTTACCAATGCAGACGATCCAAAATTAGAGAACATCGCATGAAATTTCTAATTTCCCAATAAAAGCGATAGTGCCGTAAATGTTTACAGCGCTCCGTTGGAAATAACTTTAGAAGGACCTCATCTAAACGATTCCGTTAGTTCATGGAGTATTCCATTACAGCAAGGTGTCTCTGACAATGTTCGCCAGCTCCTACAGGGTCTGATATGCAAGAAAGTGCGAAAGTATCTCGACGGAGAACTGAACGTGAAGGTTGTTTGTTCAACGATTCCATGTTTACTTCGCTCTGTATTTAGCTTATTCCAATGTTTTTCGCTAACACATACACAGCCCCCTTTGAATTCACAGAAGCTGCCAAAACAGCAAAAGCGTTCCTTCATTTAAACTCGGGGATGCTTTTTTTCGGTATTCCTGTTGAGCAAACACAGGGTGCTACTTTAGGTAAAGTTGACGACTCGGCAGTATTGCCTCCTTCAGAATCTGGAAGGGTATTTTGGTATGCAATTTATTTTGGTGAACTCTTCAATAGCAGAAACAAGAACATGGAAATCTATATGGTAATCACATGGTGATGATCTTCTCAGAAAGCCCTCTTTTTTTACGTGCCATCCACTGAGGCAGAACAGCTGCTTAGACACGCATATGGTTGAAGAGTGCGCCACTCTACGTCAAAAGTCGTTTTGAAGATGCGGGGATAGAACACGTGCGATCTCTGGGCATTCCTCACTCCTGTTCATACTCGGATTCTTGCCATTCATCAAAAACCTTCAAGAAGTTCGCGCTTTGGTCTTTCGGCACCCTTCGCGATGATTGTGACTTTTGTACCAAAATCGTCTCCGTCATGTTTTTGTATCCTTTTGCGTCCACAGTGGGATATTTTTGTGGGCACCAAGTCTTGCCATTGCATTTATGTCCAAAATATAAGCCTCCTTAGCGATCTCTGGTCTTTGCTGCAGATACCTAGGTTGCATCATCTTCTACACGCATGAGGAGATGGACAGATGCTTTGAATTATTGAATAGGCAGTCCGAAAGCATTAAATTCATCCGGGAGAAACCGAAAGAAAATTGGCTTCCATTTCTTAACGTCCAGATTAACGTATCAGATAGTGGTTACATGACAAAGTGGCACCGAAAACCTAATAACAAAAACATCTTGGTTCATCTCCTTTCTTGCTACTCTTCACACGCAAAGAGGGCCCTTGTGAGAAAAATATTTCGAACAGCCACCTCCGTATACGCGAAGAGGAAACTAAAAAAGGACTGGAGCGAATTGCCTCGGCACATAGCCATCTCCAATGGCTACTAAACAGTAGCCCCACGAGATAAGTTTAGAAGGATAGCGATGCCTCAAAACGAAAGAATTGGCCAGAGCAAAATCCAGTTTATGTTTTCATTTATTAGCAATGAAGTAATTGTAGCTATAAAACAATGCTTAGGAAAGGCAGTTTATGAATTGGTTGTGATAGTTGAAATACCACCGGATACTCTCCGTTGTCGGTTAGTTCGCAACCGCCTATCTGAACGTCTGTACGAAACACAGAACTGCGTAATCTGCCCTTATGGTAGGGGTAGTGATTGCATGAGTTCAGGTACGATATATACTCTCTTGCATATAAATATAAATATCTCTTGCATATATAGATATATTGGTATAGATATAGATATAAACTCTTGCAATACTTGCGGAGATGAATATATTGGCAAAACAGACAGGCAAAATTATATTCCGTATAAAAAACAACCAGATGGCAAACGAAAAACAAGACAAGGAAACCCACTAGCGACGGGTAAGATAGGAAAGCATAGCAGAGACGGTTTTGATATAAAAGTCACTATCCTTGCATAGGAGGCCTAAGCACTAACGCGCAAACATCTTGAGACCTTTTGGATAAATTCCAAGAACTCAAGAACAAATAATGAGAAGAAATGGCCAAAGATCACACGCAGCCTAGCGCCGTATTTCCAAACCGACTTTTGACGTTGAGGTAGTTCACTCATCGACCATTTGCGGTTTTAACCAGTTGTCCTTCCTCCGTGGAAGGCGCGTGAAAAAACGGTGAATTGTTCGAACTGTTGATCGTCTGATTGCCAATCAGATTTTCGTCTTTATTGCGTGTTATTGAAGCGTCTGGAGTAATAAATTGCGTATTAATATACGCCTCCAGGCTCTGAAGAAGGCGATACTGCCGAAACGTCAGCTACCGTTGTGTTGTATGTGTTATATTTGTAAGAAAGCAAAGGTGTACTGAATAACAACCTCGCGTTTGCTCAACAGCGAGAACTATTTGACCAATGCCGTGGTTAATAGAAAATCAGTTGCGGGAATTACTACAAGACGTGGCAGCTTTTTGTTCATAAAAACCCTAAGTTCTCTGGAAAAGCTGAGAAGTATTCGTGTCGTATTATCCGTTCAAAATCAAATTATTATCAACGGGTAGTCGTGTCAAAAACAATGATCCTATATAAAATTGTGCTGCCGGCGAATTTGCCTCTTTCGAGCGATGTCCTCTGAAGAAGATCCGACTCGGTATGCGATAAAGAAGGAAATCGTGAAGAGGAACAACTGTGGACCATCAACTCAGATCATCGGCTCTAATGAAGTCGAAAACGTTGAAACGCTAGCCGAATAAATTTCTTTACGAACCTCGCGTTAGCTCAATAATCCATGAAAGTGAGCCTTGTATTTATTACACCTATGTGTTCTGAATAAGTTATTGTTTCATCATCGTAAGGTACTGTTTCTTAGGGTCAAACTACGATGGGGAGAGGAAGCTCTACCTTTTAGTAGCGTCACCAAGGTTACCTAGAGATCTACGCGAAAATAAATCTATGCCAGCAAAAAATACCTTCTTCTTCGAAAAAATCACACGGGATGCGGCAACCCTTTAGTACTCTACCCTTGAAGGTCGGCAGACGTGAAATGCAAAAAAAAGTGGAAATTGGAAATTCAGTTGGAAATTGTTCTGTTTTTAAGATTTTTGTGCTTCCATAATTTGTGCTGACGAGTGATCTATTTGTCTAAACAAGTAATGCCGTCGCTTTGAGATTTACTGAATAACAGGTAAAATGAGACGATGTGAAAGACAAAGCGACACTCAATATAAGCGCAATTCCTGGAGAGATAGAAATGCATACGTATTTGGAAACATTTACGAGTTCTGCTGTGCAACCTCTTTAACTAAAAAGACTAGAGCACTCATTAACTCAACTGTAACTTAGCTCGATTCTTCAGGATCCTTACACTAGCGCTATGAAAGCTAAGAGTTCGAAAATCACCAGGAGACGTCTGTCTCCAAGAACATTCGAGCTTGCTTGCAAAACGATGCGGATGGGCGGTAAAAGGTGATCTTGATAAGAGGAGGAGAGCACACATGGTCACAGTTGCAGAGACGGGCGAAAGCATTAGCAAAGCCCACCGAAGGTTCGCCAATCGGAAAACCAAGATGATTGCACTCCGACTTCCAAAGGAAGCAGTTACAGCGTCCAGAAGGGCAAAAGAGAAAATTATTTACAATTACTAGTCGGATCTCTTCAATAGTCACTTCCTTCTTCTCTCGTCTGGAATGAAGGAGGACGGCTATTTTGTCTCGCCGGTTCTCCCATTCGAAATCCGATGTGCTCCTACGTGGGCGAATAACCGAACAACAGCTGGTCCGGATATGATAAGGCCTGAACACGTGATCGACCTTGCACCAGTCCTCGTCATACACTGGCTCGGCATTTCACACGTTATCTGTCAGAATGTACGGCTCCAATTCAGTGGAAGAGACCAGAAAAGACTGTTTTTTGTTTTTTATTTTCATATGACCCGTCTTCACGTCTACTGCGCGGACCACAGCACGTCTCACATTCGATTCGTTTTCTCGCATCCATTGTCAACAAAGATCTTCAAACTTTATCTGTGGCTCCAGTTTACGCTTGAGGATTTCCACTTCATCTTGAATGTCGTAGAATAGTGGTCGAGCGAGTCGCCCTGGAGTCGTGAGATAGCCGGGTTGGAGCGTTTCCAGTTGTATTGCATAGAATGATTTCTTTTCCAGACAAGTCCGGTACCAATTTCTAGACCACCGATAGATGAGCACCATGCTCGTGATGACGGACATCGCTATCATTGTGCTATCCGTCCCTTAAAAAACTTTCATTGTTAAAAAAGGGTTACCTCTATGATATCAGCAATAACTGCACTCTTCCTGCTTTCTATTGTTTATGAACTCACCGTTCGAGTTATCCTATGACAAAATAGTGAACGATGAAGAGCCACAAGAGCAACCACTGTTTCGTAAAAAATTAAGTGCAGATGGAATACATCCACACAATAGCAAGACTCACTAAGGTATTGCGAGCACAAGAGACCGCTGTCTCACTTTCATTGATTTAACTTTTGACTCAGTTGGAATAAAAGTGGTCGTGGAATTCCAAATAGCCAAGGCGCTCCTACTACCTATGTAAGATTTTTCAGAAGGTATATAAAAACTTCACATTACCAATCTACAACGACATTAACATCGACGTCAAAAGAGAGATTAGGCAAGGCGATAGCATCTCCCCAAAATTATTTCGTAACCCTCGAAAACGTCACGCGAACATTGGAATAAGATAAAATGGGAGTGCAAATTGATGGTCGGCAATTACACCATGTTCGCTTTGCTGATGAAACCGTCTTTATAACACCAAACATTAGCCAAGCGGAACGTATGCTTGCCGATTTTGATAAAGCCGGTGGAAAGATTGGTCTTCGACTAAATCTCACAAAAGCGATGTTTATGAGAAACGGATTGGTTTCGTATGTCTCATTCACGCTCAACGGAGTGAAAATTTCCGAGTGCTCCATCTATGTAAGCCTAGGTTGGGAAGTCAGCGTGACGAATGGCTTAACTCGAGAGCTGAGCAGGAGAAATAAAGCGTCTTTAGGAGCTTCAATCGGCATTGAAGATGTAGCAAAGAGAACAAAGAACACCTGGTTCCGTGCTCACCTTTCCGACTCCACGATTCTCCTTGGCTTAACGTAGCCGTCAGAAACCTAGTCGCTATGTACTGGTGGAGGATTAGTCGGCGTTATAGAACTCGCAGACGTAAGGACTAGGAGCATCCCGTATCGCACAAGTGAGGAAGAGAATCCGGAGTTCCAACCTGCGTCAACGAACAAGGGTCAAAGACGCCGTTCTATACGGCAGGCTGTCGAAGGCAAGGAGGGTAGGACATGTGGTGTGCATGAACGACAACCAATGAAGAAGAACTGTTAGTGGCTGGATTTCTCGTGATGTCAGACGTACTGCAGGAAGACTACCGATTCGATGGTCAGAGTTCTTCACGACTAAGATATGGTGCTCAGAGAGTTTCTAGACTGGGTAAAACCCACTGGGATACTCTTTCGTGCTACTGAGAGAAATGGTATGTTCACTTTCTGTCGCTGAATTCACCCGGACATCAACAGGGTGACAGGTGGTACAGGTGATTGTGTAACTTAAAAGACGTTAGTAAAGTAGGCATCTATTACGTTGTTCGATAACACACCGCCATTTAATGATGTGCTTGCAAAAAAGATTTTTTTGAACCAATCCTTTGCGAAGACAGGTCAGCCGCTTTATTGCTTCTGATGTTTTAGTTAGCCGAAGTCCAAACACGTACTCGTTTAAGCGAAGCAATCGAGACGAACGCTGTTCGATCGGCAAGGGTATCATCTTCTCTTGGAGGATTCACGATAGATAGCTTGTTGGGAAAAGTGAGCACAACCGATGTCTACACTTTTTATTCTTCTTTTGTTCCCTTCTGTCAGTTTTTTCTGCAGTTTTGCCTCATATTTTTGTACAAAACTGAGGTACTTCTCGACTTTTTCAGAGCATTTCTACGGATTTCTACATCGATTTCAGGTGGGAGAAGTAATTTCGTCTCTGATAGATCATCTAAAGCTAATGCTCTTTTACAGGCTACGAGAGCCTCCGCAGTGCGATTCTAATACGGTTGACCTAGCATGTGCTGGTGAGGTTTCCTACAAAGGCAAAGGTGGAACTCCTTTCGGACCACCAGCAATCGCCTGGCATCGCTTGAAGTCCGATAAGCACATGTTGATGCTGCAACTCTCCGACTACCTGCCGAACTCATTGCTCTACCATGCACACAAGTTTGTCCAAATCTCCTCTTTAAACAGTTCGAATGAGAAGGAAAAGACAATTATTCTACTTATGTCGTGAAAGGATGCGTAAACGGTGCGGTGGATAATTGCAATATTTGGAATGAAAACTCTCTCTGGAGTGTTTATGTTTACTGATAATATTACATATGATCGTTATAAATCTTTATTGTGATAAGAGGCATTCGATTCGATTCGATTCGCCGACTACGAAAATCGAGCATTAAGACGCGGTTGCTGAGGACCGCTGCCCCGAAAGACCGCAACTCTGAAAGAAGAACAGTGCTAGTTTCTAACCCCGTATAAAATTATCATACTGCCAACACTTTGATTATTTATGCTAAGGTTTAGTGAAATTTAAAGTTGAAAGTTTTTATTCTGAAGTATTGCAGTTGTTAAGTCTTAACGATTATCCAGCAATCATAGTAGAACAAAAATCACATTTTACTAAGTTTCGGTGAACTGGAGGAGGGTCTAGTGGAACAAATGTGTTGACAAATAGAATGGGATGGTGTTCGGAAACAGGAAATTTAGGATGTATGAGTAAAGATATCCTTCTGTGATAGTAAGCTGGATAAGTCTTCGTTTCAGCAAAAGCGATCAAGTTTTATCCAGGAGGTACCCCAGTCATCTCTTATGTCTTTTTACACCACTTGCATTAAGCATAGTGACAACATATTTCTGCCGAATTTTTTTAGAAGTGATTTGTATTTGAATACTCAGCATCAATCTGGTCAATTTGACAATTTTTATTTTTGTTTTTTGTTTCATTTTATTTTATTTCGTATGACCCGTCTTCACGTCTACTGTGCGGATCCCAGCACTCCTCACATTCGATTCGTTTCCTCGCAACCATTGTCCACGAAGATCTTCCAACTTTATCTGTGGCTTCAGTTTCCGCTTGAGGATTTTCATTTCATCTTGAATGTCGTAAAATTTTGGTCAAGCAATTCTCCCTGGAGTTCTGAGATGGAGGTTCTGAGCCGGGCTGGAGCGTTCCCAATTGGATTGCGGGGAGTGATTTTTCGCAGACAAGTCCGGTACCAGTTACCCGACCCCGGAGGGATGATAAACTCGGTTGGCCCAGATCGGAATCGAACTAGCACCATGCTCATAATGGTGGACATCACTACCATTGTGCTATTCGCCCAAACTGACTGCGACTCTAATTCAGATCCTGTTTTTTAATTTTTGCCCATAACTGACTCCATGTTGTCGATCTTCACATCAAAGTTCTGCCCCCAGTCGCAACGAGCTTCAGTTATTTCTTGTCTCATTGTCATCGCCTACTTCTTACTTCAGTAGGTGTGAAACAAAACCATGAGATGCTAGGCTTTTTGTTACAGTTAACAATGTTGTTCAGCATATTCACTACCATTCTTCGAGTACGCGAAGTTTCTATAAGTTGCCGCAAATAAGCCCGACGAATACGTTCACCGATCACTACCACATCCACCAAAGCGGATCTGTTGGAGAAGCATGTTGGACAGAGCGGCCAAGCTAGTGTCCTATTGTCCAAACTTATTCCTAATTAAAAACGACCGTAGTGAACGAAATGTGTGACTTCTAGCAAAACCCCGACCTAGCGCAAGCGGCAAGACCAGGGCCCACGTCAGTGTTTTTATGACAAAAGAATATTTATCGATAATGAGATGGTGTTATAAAGACTATGCCAAGATTTTTAGTTTCTTGTATCTTTCGCTGGTTTGATAGCATTGGTTGTCTGACCATTCAGATAATAAGCATGCTTATAGTGAATTTCGCAGTATGAGCTTTGTCACTTCTAACGCTAAGTGTTTGCATCGTGTTACGTTATTTTTGAATAGGAACATTAACGAACAAGCGGGCGCGCCATACCAGCTTATTCAGCACACCGTCAGCATTCTTTACCACAGTGGTCGTTGAAATGGGTAACCACCGTTCTACAATTCACAGCTAGATGTACTACTCCAACTTAGCTTATTGCTGTAAAGTCGTTTTTAGGAATTTTTTAACCGTGAAGAAATTAAATTACACTTTCAAATTCTCACTTTATCGTCGTTAAGCATAAGTAACCTTGTGCTGTGAGAGCAAAAGAATACGTACGTTACAAAAACATAAACGGATGTCAATGTACTTGTTTTGTTAATTCAAACATCGCTTAAAGAAGAATTAGTGGTTACTTCAGGCAAGGTCTTACTCGACTACATCTGACACCGTCGACTCCAGGAGTGTCTCAGTTCCTTCGCACCACTTGCGAAAGTTCATTTTGTATAGCTGATTTAATTCCGCAGTTGACCGAGTCTTACCCAAATCGAGATCTCGAGCTATCCATCATCTCCACTCGTGCACCAGCTGTTTTGTTTTCGGAAAAGAAAGGAGGTATAACAAGTTTCAATAACCAACTTTGACGTGAAAATATCCAAGTTAAAGGAAATACTGAAACAGATAACGACTAGAAGGTGTTTAAAGTATGAGAAATGTTTGCAACTATTCGCATCATATAGCGGCTTTGCGACACTCTTTTTCCACTCACCATGCCCTATTCCTTTTGTAAAGAAAACAATAAAGCTCTTGGAGGAGATCAATCTTTGAGGGATGAGCCACGCATTCGATTTCATTATCAAGCGTCAGAGTGAACGAATGCATATCCGGCCAATACAATGAATCGCGATGACCTACGATCTATGGAGTCACTCCTGGTATCCTCGTAGACACGACCGGCATCTTAGGGACTCCGGAATGATGAAAGGCTTGCTGAGCTTGGAGCCCAGGACCGTTCCCATGTGTACTGCAGGGCGCCTGTAACCCCTGCTCTGCGCGTACCACTATTTCTTTCATAAAATATAGAAATTGCTTGTAACCCCACCAGAAAGAATGGTTGCTACTCTATGCACAGAAAATGCTGGTTTTCTCGAAAAAAGGATTTATTCGTTTAGGAGTGATTTCGGTTAATCTGGCTGGGGTAGTTGTTATATTTGTACTAGAAGGCCTTCGAAGGAAACAATTAGTTGTCTTGGATGCAGAAGTGGTTGCAGACGCCAGACTCAATCTACAGGTACATCTGTGTGCTTATATTCCAATTCAAAAAAGCTTTAAATTACTTAATTTTATAAAAACAAAAATACTGTGGTCCCATTAATACCGTCAAAGGGGCTGTTGTTTAGCAACAGAACGTCAGTGGAAGCGTGGAACTGACGAAATTCGAGTTGTCGAGCCGGTCTACGACGGTGAAAATCTCTCAAGAAGAGCTCTCGGACATTTCGATTCTTGTCTCGCAGTTGTTGCAGAACATGCTCAACGATCTTCTCACGAGCGGATTTCCACTTCCATTACCCAAGGGTAAGCATTTCACATTGACGCGAAAACTTTAGCTGTCAAAAACAAAGGCAGTCGTTGAAAAAAAAGCTGGAAAAAAGCGGCTCTGAAGAAGGCGATACTGCCGAAACGTCAGCTAGTGTTGTATTGTATTGTGTTTCTCTATGGAAGTAAATGTATGCTGTTTAAAAACCTCGCGATTGCTGAACAAGAAAACGACACATTCATATTCCAATGCCGAGGTTAAGAGAAAGTCGATCCTGGCAAAAAAAGCTGATTTAGAAGCACGTAATCCAAGCTCTTCTTCGTCTTTTATAGTTTCGCATTTTTTCTTCTATTTTTTAAATGAACAAACACCATACACTGTATGGATTCCAGTACTTCCATCAACCGATTTGTTTCCTCGCATCCGTCATCTACAAGGATTTTCGGGTTCTCATGTGGGCGCAAATATCGCTTGGCGATTTTCTCTCCCCATGAATGTTAATGCAGTCGATTTTCTCTGGAACCATAAAATAGTTGTTCTCTGACCTTTTCATGCAACCTCCAGCCTTTCTAAATCGAAAGGAACGCTTCCTAGACCAGTCTAGTACATATTTTAGAAACCTATAAGAATGAGAGACTTTAGCTTTAGTAACATTTCAAGCCATTTAATACGATTACTTCTATTTGATTTATGCTACAAACATTTCAGTCAGTCCTTGGTCGTCCTAAGAAACGCTTCCTCGATATTTCTGTGCTTTACTCTACACCCTTTTTATTGTCCATCTGTCCCCAACTCTTTGCCAATTGTTTGCATCTATGTTTATGCTTTTTTGAGGCTCTTTGAAAGTAGTCTTCACTTCGCTGGTAATTTTCGAGGATGAAGACAATTTTTCTAGCGAAAGAAGGTCTGATTGAATTGTCCACCAATGCATGCATCGTATTTATTCAAGTTGAGCAAAATTTTCACTGAAATTAGCTATAAGTAACACCGATGAGATGACGTCACCTCCTAAGAACCTTCTCATCGACGGTGGTAAGGATAAAGAGGATAAGTTTCATCGCCTTGTTTTAATTGAGGAGATTATCTGTAGCAGGTATAAAAGGTCTATTTCACTCTTTGGGATACGATCACCGTTAAGATAACGTACGAGGATCCACCACCGTTCTGGTATCAAACTAGTCGCGTGGTAGGAAATCTCCTTCTGATCTACGAGGGCGGCGACCACCTGTGATGGTGACGGCGAGGGCAGACTTTGGCAACGCTGACCTCGGGACTCCAAAGGACCACAATGGCTAAACCAGTAAAGTCCGAAAAAATGGAGACTCTTCTGGATCCCGCACAACCAGTGAGGACGCGCCGTCCAAGTATCCAAGTAAATAAGTTACGATAGCACTGGTTCAGGTACTATAGAGTGATTTTCATTCGTCGGCAAATATTAGGATTTATGACATCCTTCTATGATGTTCACCTCAACGTCGATCAGATCTGTTTATCAGAATATGTATCGAAACTATTATTATACTAATGGATGATCGTCATTCATACTAATTAATATGCGTATTAGAATAACCGTCGTAAAGAACTAGATGATCGCAGAGCATCTGTCTCGCTACTTAGGTGAGCTGATGTGACCATGTACGAAATTCACTGCTGGTTTTGATATTTCTAAACTGACTTTTCTCTAACCTCGGCATGATTAATCAACATGTATTCTTAATTGATAAGCTTACATGAGTTTGGTAAACAATTCTTATTCGGCTAACGTTTAACGTTTCGAGATCTTCGTTTTCACCAGAGTCGATGATCCGAGTCGATGGTCCACAGTTGTTTGTCTTTTCGATGTGGCATCTTCGTCTTCGTATTCAGCCGGATCTCCTTCGGCGGAGGCGTTCTCACCAGACGGTGCTCTTCTATACAGGAGGCCTATTGTTGATGATAGTAAATTTCCGGTGGTGATAACTTGCTTTTTTCCGAACAATCCATGCTGCAGAACTCGGTATCATTGTCGGCTAGCACAGAGTCGTTCATTAGTCATTTCGATCTTAAAGTAGGTCGGTTTGAAAATCGACTTTTTTTAAACGTGTGTTCAAGAAAAAACAAGTTATTATCACCTGACGAACGTTATTACTAACAGCTGGCGTCCTGTATGAAAGAGCACTGCCAGATGAGCATGCCTCATTTGAGAGACTCTCCATTGAGGAAGATCCGACTCGATACGAAGCCGAAGATGCAACATCGAGAAGAAGAATAGCTGTGAACTATCGACTCGGATCATACGTTCTAATGAAGAAGGACGTCGAGACGTTAGCGGAATAAAGTTGTATAACAAACTCGTTTAATCTCATCAACTAAAACACATGTACATTTGTTTCCGTTCTCAATATCATGTTCTACACTGAGCTAGTAGTAATCCCATCTCCATTGATTAGTAATAATAGCACTAATCTGTTTCTACTGGTTCCTTCTTGAGCTCTTTCTATTAGTTTTTCCTGTATAAATTGTTCCACCCTTCTGATAAGAATCACCTACGGTTACATTTACGACTATCCTTACCAATAGCATTGCAATCGAGTGGTTTTCCTAGAGATACGATCAGAATTTTAAAAAGGCGGGTGATGCGGAGCTTTGAAGTCACAAACGACTAGCTCGTAGCCTTCGGTCTCGCACTGCTCGAATCCCGCTAAGGAGAGAATTTGTGCAGAATCTTATCTTCATAAACTACTTGTTTTTTTCTCTTTAAGCAATAGCGGTTCCATCCAAGCCTGCTATTGAATCGTACCTTTGCACAGAGTAGACAGTACCTATATATCCATTTTAAAATTATGGCACTATTACGGAGGTATCAACGAGGCACCGTCTTTTTCTTATAATCGAAGTCGGCGTGAATGCTGATAATGGATATCTTTCAGCTCAAACTGAGATTTCATTTTCTTCTCAGAATGGATTTCTATGCAAGAAGCGCGCTTAAGTTGAGACCCATTAAGACGCTTTTCGTCCCCATTTCAGTCTAACATCTTTCCGATGCAGTATTTTTCATGGCTTGCTTCTTCTATTCTTCTGCCCAACATCACGGATAAGTTTTTAGGACTTGGTTACTAAAGGCCATAGCAGTTATTGCACTTATGGAATTAATTTTCGGTATCGGTTTGGTCTTGACTGGGTTTCCAGGCAAAGAGTTGCAATACATGTGGATCCCAGAAATTTTCCATGTTAACTTCTCATTATTTTGAATTGATTGTTTTTTTTTCAGTAATTCGTCTCCACAATGTCGCGGTGGATGTGTTATCAAGACGAATACTTATAAGGACGAACATTTCTGTAGGTTTTCCACAGTTTTTCTATTCTTTTTTTTGTTCCACTCATTTTTCCACAATTGCGACTTGCCCTATGGTACTCTCATGGTTTCTAATGTCTTATATTTTCTCAAACGCATTTTACCTCCTATACATTCTATTCACAAATTTACTCCCATGGATTTTCTTGGTTCTCTCAACGGACCTCAAAACGCGCAATCTCGTTGGGAATATCGCCAGTAGATAAGCCACTCAAGTTCCAATAGGGCTGCAGAACAAACCTTGGAAATATGCCCAGCCGCTACGCCATACCCAGAAGAGTACACATTTGTGGGTCTGTTTGAGTTTACTACTATGACCAAATCGGAGCCTTGGAAGTGGAACATTCACTCCATGCCAGCGTCACTTCAGTGCACACCATCTCAACGCTTGGAATGCACTTCCAGCGGCTCTCCCTTTCGAATTCGGCGCACTCGACTCGGTGAAAAGTCGTATAACGTCGGGTACTTGCTAGATCCGAACTGGATATCTAGAATGCCTATCAGTTATTTTCACCAAAAACGATGGCATGCCTTTTCACACATTACCGATTATAACACAAGTTTTCTAGTCATATGTTAACGAGGAGGCGCGTGTGGCGCAGTTGTCGGAAGCGCCCTGCAACACACACTTAGAATCGATCCAGGCGTCCATGGCCCACCGGGCCTTCGATCCCTCCGGGGTCGGCAAATTGGTACCAGATTTTTCTGGGAGGATAGGATATCATCACTGGTTCGATACATCAGTAGGCCACAGCGAGTCATTGTAAAGGCAGATATGCACTCAAACACCTCCAATCGATGCTAAATGAAGTCGAATGTACGGCGCATCCCTCAGGGATTGATCACCGCCAACCGTTTTATCCTTTACCTTTATGTTAGTGAGTGAGACCATGCTTTTGTACAAAAAGTAAAGTTTACGAAGATTAGTGTAATGTATGAAATCCACATTACACTCAAACTCTTCTGTCGCGGCATTTCAAAATGTCTTACTTTCATTTACTTACGAAACACCTTCGCTTCAGTTGAGATCGAAGTGGTAAAGGAAGCACTAATCATCTACAGCATCCATACTCACTAAACAGATGTTTTTTACGAGTTGAAAAACAGTCACATCGAAAATTTTTCCATTTCACAGCAATATTATCATAGACCTGAAAAGTGGGGTACGTCATGGTGACGCTATGTCAACATAACTGACGAGCACCACTTTCAAAGACATCAGGGAAAAACTATAATGAGCAAGCATGGGTATAAAAGTCATTAACGGACAAATGCGCCAACTTCGGTTAGTTGGTTGTTTCTAAACATAAAGAATCAGCCTAACGAAGCGAATGTCGACACTTCGACGGTGCGCCTGGAAAAGTTGTCGCAGGGTAAACATAAACAAGACGGAATTCGTTACTAATGGCATGCTTCTTGATATCTCGCTCGACATCCCCCAACGTTTCGGTTCTGTGTGTCTCCGTCGGTATATCAGTTTAACGGACGTTGGTTTCAGAGTTGGGAAGGAGGTAGCAAACAGCTTAGGAAACTTGGAACGGCATGCAAGCAGTGATGACAAGCCCTAATGCTTCGTGTTTACATCGTCGATTTCGCTACTATTTTGTCGTATCGTACATTAAAACTTATTTAAAAAATTAAAACTTAGAGAACTTGGACGAGCTCTAGTCGAGACGAAACAGCCGCATAAAATGTATGTCGAACACATGGTAAAGCGATTATGCGTTGATTATCAGCGCTGTTCGTGGTGATCATCAGGAAGGAATTGATGCTGTTTCCCTGTCTTACCAGAAAGCGTAATTTACGAGCTTGTAAGCGAAAGAAGACAAAAAACATTGTTGTCATCCTCTCATACAGTGGTCAGCAATAGCACTTTTAACAAGCAATTAATTTCTTAATATATCGGATTTTTATTATCAGTTGAGAACAATTAAATTCGTGTCGGCAATGTAGAGATAGTGAAGGGTTTTGAACTACTACTTAGCACAAATGGTTGGTTAGCCTACGGCTAAAACCATGTGATAGCCCTAATGACTAGGAATAAGAACAAGCTTGATGTTCTTAAAGATGGTTCGACTAGAAATGTCTCATGTATTTATGTAAGAAGCGGATAGCGCAGTGATAGCGATGCTGTTCGTATGGTGTTCACGAACACGGTACTGGATCGACTCCGCCCCAGCCTTACCAAGCCTCTCATCCCTCCGTGGTCACGAAATTGGTCCCAGACTTGTCTAGAAAGAGTCCACTCCGTCGAACCCAAATGCTATAGCGCTGCTATGGCATGACTACAGA